CACCAACCCACCCACTCAGGAACAGCCACACGGGTCCCGGGGGCAGCCCAGCGGGTTTATTAGCCGGGGGGTGGGAGAGGGGGATGTACAGAGCGGCCGTGCCAGCCCGTGGTGCTGGGCACCCCTGGCATGGCCGGCGCCTGCCCGGCACAGCCAGGGCTTGGCACAGAAGCAGGGCTGGGGGTGGACAAATGGCGGCTGCGGGTGCCCCACGGCAGGATCGGTCCCCCCAGGGGCCGTGCCAGTGTCCCACCGGTGGCGTGGACAGCAGGTGCCCTGCCATTCCACCAGTCTTTGTCTCCCCCTGGTCCGTAAGGTATATAAATATAGAGGCTGTATGTATACATCCTATGTATATATGTACATCCGGGTGGCCACTAGCAGGGTTCTGCGCCGGGGGTGGCCGGCACCCCTGTGCCGGGGGCCCCTCACTTGTGCCAGGATTCGCAGTAGAGGGAGCGGGCCTTGGCGCGGCGCGGGGCGGCGTTGAGGACGGCCACGCTGCGGCGGCTGGAGCAGATGACGTCGGTGACGAAGCCGGCGCAGTCGCTGCAGACGTCGCGCAGGACAGAGCCCTGGGCGTAGATGTGGGGGAACTCCTCTTCCACCCGGCGCCAGCACATGCCCTGGAGTGAGCTGCGGGCACAGGGCAACCCCGTCAGCCCCGGGCCGAGGAGGAGGAAGGGAGGAAGGCTCAGGGGCTGTGGGACTCACTGGAAGGTCTCTCTCCTCCGCAGCGGCAGGGCTTTGGCCAGCAGCGAGCCCGGCAGGCTCTCGAAGCCCAGTGCGTAGACGGGGATGTGAGCCAGCTTCTTGGAAGGCATCTTCATCTGCCGGGTGTGCAGGTGTCAGGGCAGGATGGGGACGGGGCAGGGGCAGGGACAGGGTTGGGACAGGGACACAGGGGCACCAGCTGGAGCCAGTCTCTTACCTTCAGGCTGCAGGAGCTGCAGACAGACCTGGGGACACAGAGAGAGGCTGGTGAGCGGGGCCACCATGGCCACCCTCCCACCACCCTCCCAGTCCCATGGCACAACACAGCATGGCACAGTGCTCACCGCTTGCAGAAGAGGCAAGCTGCGGGCCAGGAGAAGAGGGGGAACTTGGTCCTGCAGCAGCAGCAGACCTGCGGGTAGAGAGGGGTGAGAGCTGGTGGCCGGGTGGGTGGCACTAAGCTCCTCCGGCCCCAGCTCCCACCTTCCCCTTCCGCAGGCTGCTGTACAGCTCCTTGCTCTGCAGGAACTTCTCCATCTCTGCCTTGACCAGCACCCTGCGGACGTTGATCATCTCCTCCACGGTGAGGGCCAGGCTCTCCACGGGATGGCTGAACTCCTGCGGGTGAGGGGGGATGTCAGCTCCATCTGAGAGCCTCCCAGCATGGGCAGAGTGTCTCCAGCACAAGCAGAACCTCCTGGCACAGGCACAGGACCCATGGTACAGCATGCCTCAAAGCCCTACGTTCCGTTCAGAGGGAACTGGGGTGCCATGGGGACCCCCCAGCCACCTTGTGCCCTCATGCCAAGCCGCTGTGTGCCTGTGGTCATGCTGTCATGGTGTTCCCAGCCCGGCCCAGCCCCACCACCAGCACTCACCAGCCAGAGGTGCTTGGAGCTGGTGCCAGGGGCAGTGCTGGATCCATCCTCTGGCCTCTCCTCCACGGCACCAAGGGCAGCCCGGGGTGGTGCCGAGCTGTCTGGCCACGGGTGGCAGCTGGCAGGGACGGAGCCTATGGGGTGGATGGGAAGACCATGGCAAGGTCTTCCTGGATGGGGGGACAGGGCAACTTGTGGATGGGGGGACAGGGGTGGCACAGGGCTGGGGACATCCAGCAGGTACCTGAGCGGGGCCGGGGCTCGGGCTGCAGTGACTCCAGCTCCTGGGGTGCAGGTTCACTGCCCCCCAGCTGGCTCTGCAGCTGCGCCAGGTCATGTTCTGAGAAGGAGCGGTCCCGCTTCATTGCCACCTCTGCGATCGGAGAGTCTTCCTCCTGCAAGGCCATGGGCACCACATCTCATTGAGGACCCCCTCATTCCCTCAGGACCTCCTGTGTTCCCCTGACCTCCACCCTCCCACCCTGCCATGACCCCTCTCTTGCCTCAGAGACGTTCATCTCCTCCATCTCAGCCAGGGTGGGTGCCTTGAGGAGGACGCGGGGCCGTGGGTGTGCTGGCACGGTGGTCGCTGGGGTCCGGGAGAGCTCGAGGCAGGAGCTGGAAGCCAGGTGACCCGCACAGGCATGGGGGATGCAGGGCAGGGAGCTGTAGCCTGTGGATAGGGACAGGGCTCAGTCCCAGCATGACAGTGACCTGCCCTGGTGCCAGACACATCACTGGGAGCCCAGTGTGGTGGGGAGGGGATGGCAGTACCTTTCTGGCCACGGTATGGCATCTCCACAGGCCGTAGCTTCCTCTCCTGCCTGATCTCCTCAAGGATCTTCTCATGGAGCGTCCTCTGCTTCTGGGGTAGGGGCCGCAGTTGCCGCTCCGATGCCTGTGGGATGCATGGATGGGGGCTCAGGCAGTGGCTGCAGCCAATCCGGACCCTCAGGGTGCCCAGCCAATTTGGGATGGCACCCATGGGACCTGGGAGGTGTCCTGGTGCCGGCACTCACCTGCTTCAGTGGGGGCCGGGAGCGGATGAAGTCGAGGATGAGCTCGTGGGCATTCTTCTTCACCCGGGGGGGGATGTCTCCATCCACCTGGAAGAAGGCAGGAGAGCCATGGGCAGCGTCAGTGCCATGTCTGGTGAGCAGCACAGTGGCAGGATGGGGGGCTGGCGTGGGAGCAGCCTGGCTGTGCTCACCATGACCTTGCGGAGTTTGTAGTTGCGGGCACGGATGTCCTGCATGAGCATCTCGAAGGGGGTGAGCTGGTACTCGGTGGGCAAGGGGTTGAACTGCTTTTCCTGCACCTTCTTCAGCTTCACACCATGCCGCAGCTCCCGCATCAGCTGCACCCACAGCCGGGCCTGGTGGAGGGGGAGGGACACGGCATCAGCCCCCGCATGGCCCCGGCACGGCCCCCGCGCCTGGCTGTGCCACCGTACCCAGTCGGTGTTGCGCAGGCTGCCCAGCTCCGCCGCCGGCCGCTCCTCTGCTTCCTCATCCTCCTTCAGCTTCTGCAGCATCTGCCATGGTATGAGACGCTGTCACCCTGCCCCGGTGCCCAGCAGCACCCAGGGTATGGCAAGGACTGTGCCACAGGGCTGCAGCATCAACGTGCACCCCCAAAGCAGCCCCATCTCTGCTGGCACCTATGCTCACCTCCTTGGCATCACGGATCTTGGCGAGGAAGGCTTTCAGCTCCACGGTCTCGGCGAAGAGCGCCCGGCAGACAGCCTGGTAGTGAGCCTGGGCTTCGGCGGGGTCAGCCAGGCGGGCGGCACAACACCGCATGGCCTGCCCGAAGGTGCGCACGGAGCGTGGTGGCCCCTCGCCCCCCTCTTCCTCCTCCTCCTGTCCCCCATAGCCCTCGTCGGCCGTGCCGCAGCCACTGTCCTCTGAGTCGCTGTTGGTCATCAGGT